TGCTTTGCCCCTAAACCACAGGTAATGTGATCCCATTACAATTTGTGCCACTAGTGTGCTTAAAAGATTTCCCATACCACACTAGAGAGAAAGCCCCAGACCTCACTATCACATACAAGGCCTTCTATGATGTGTCCTCCATTACTTCTCTGCTCCTTGATTACACGTACCACACAGGCCCTTCCTAAATGACTTCTGTGGCCATAAAGAATAACTCACTTAGTCTGGAGATCTTAAGAGTAAATGGAAAAAAGATGCGCTTGCTCCAAAAAATGGCAGTCAGGGAAGAGTTTCCCTGTAGGGTAGTCACAAAGCCTTTCCACAAGAAGATATCCTTCTGGAAAACTCAGCAGGCCACCAAAGCCTGCCCTGGGCCCGTACTTCTGCAGGGCAGGATCACCAAAATGTTTCTGTTGAATGGATTTTTACTTTCTTGATTTACAATAAATGCGTGGTTTTATTTAAACAAGAAACACATTTTTATTATTTAATTTTCTAGATAAGTCTTTGAAAATGATACATGCAATAAAGATTATTTGCAATACCCATATTTGATGCATCATTTTCAAACCACATGGTTTAGCATGAAATTTAAATTCAGCCAATAATTCCAAGGTGACAGTTTTATCTACAAAGCCTCCATTTCTAGTTCAACCAATTTATTTAATGGAACAATTTAGAGCACTTGTTTAAACTGATCCAAATAACACTCAAAAGAAAGTAAAGGGAAATAACTTTCAAATGCAATTTAATAATAGAAACTATTGCTGTTTTTAAAGCAATGAATCGAAGCCTCAAATGTGTTAATTGTACAAGTTCTTATTAAAGAGATTCAAGGAAGATAGCAATGTAATCATTATAAAAACATAAACTTAGATAAAATCCGCCATTTTTCCATAAAACACAGATACACAAATATTAAGACCACAAATAAAATACATGCTGTGAAGTGTAACAGGAGAAAACACTGAAAAATAAGACAAAATTATAGGTTTAAATATACATTATGCTTTAACTCTCACTTCATTGGATTTCCATTGCTTTCTAGACACATTCCCTACAAATATTTCCAGACACCTGGTGATTTTCTTTATTATGAGGGTTGAGATGGCAATAGTTAAGTACTCTGCATTTCCTTTGGCAAAAGAAAGCATGATTTATGAGAAAAGAATAAAAATCTAAGAAAAACACTTAACAAATTACTCAATTTTTAGATCAAACTGATTCAGGATAAATTTCTTCCATGTTGCAAGTATGGAAAATGTAGCTTACTGGATAACAGCATGGTATTTTAAGAGAATATCTGGGTTTTCTTCCCTGTTTTTAGTAATTTTGTGTCTGTAGGCAAGACACATAACCTCTCTTAAGTCTTAGTTTATTCATTTTGCAGAGGGGGTAGTAATAGGAAGTATGTCTCAAAGAGTAAGATGTATACCACTGGTGGCAATTAAGATAGCTGGTGTGGCAACGTGGGCAGATTGCTGGAGCTCAGGAGTTTGAGACCAGCCTGGGTAACATGGTGAAACCCCATCTCTACAAAAAATGCAGAAATTAGCTAGGTGTGGTGGTACACATCTGTAGTCTCAGCTACTTAGGAGGCAGAGGTAGGAGGATCACCTGAGCTGGGAAGACTGAGTTTGCAGTGAGCCAAGATCACACCATTGTACTCTAGCCTGGGTGACAGAGTGAGGCACTGTGTTGAAAAAGAAAAAAAAAAGGAAAGATAGCTGGTGTGGTGATAAACTTATTTTTAAAAATGTATCTCAACACAATTTTAATGTGTATGATAAAAATATAAAATTCGTATATAAAATAAAAAAATAAGTAATTTCTCAGGACAAACCTAGCTAGCATGATGGGAATCTCTCTTTCTCAGAGTGTAGTTCTTTTCAGTTGTACTTTGAAATTTCACTTCAATGAACACGAACATTTTAGAAACAGTAAAGAACATTTTAAAAACTAAATGTCAGAAGAAGGGTCTTAGGGTTCATGTGGATTGTGTTAGAATTAAAGGAAATGGTGAGCTATATTTCATAAGGTACTCAGCAAAGCATTGGAATATATTAAAAACTCAATAATTCTTATTTTTCCTTGTGACTTATTGCTGCCATATTACTATAATCCTAATAAATCAAATATACTCCATTTAGCATAAAAGAAGTTTGAGTATCTGTGTATATAGCAAAACCATCATCTTTTACTTTCCAAATGATTTATAATATGTACCACCAAGAAACCAAGAAAGAATAAAAGAAATGAAGAAACAAGGGGAGGGACAGGAGCTCACAGAGGACAAATAAGCAAAGAGCTGATGAAATTAAATGACATATACAATTTGCCATAATAATATTTTGCAAAATGGCATACGTTGCAATGATTAGGCTAAGTAAATCTGCCTATGAAATTTGAGGAATTACTACACCCAGTGAATAGCACCTATATAATCATATTACATTTTGTCTCAGGACATTAGAAATAAAGAAAAGTTTTCTAGTTATGTTTTCTAAAAATTCTATCAACCAGCCTGGGCAACACGGTGACATCCCATCTGTACTAAAAATAAAAATTAAAAAAAAAAAACAAACTAGCTTATAATGGTGGTGCTTGCCTGTAATCCCAGTTACTCAAGAAGCTGATGCAGGAGGATCATTTTAGCCCAGGAGGTGGAAGCTGCAGTGAGCTATGATCATGTCACCGCACTCCAGACTGGGCGACAGAGCCTGCCTTAAAAAAAAAAAAAAAAAAAAAACCTATCTAAGGCAGTACATACCACTAAAAAGAAAGTCTAAAAACATTTCCTGTAATTTTACTAAGTTCTTGTGAATAGCATTTTTTAAAATAAGTGTTTTCACAAAAAGAAAAGGGCAATATTAATATGAAATATAATACTACTTGGATAGTTCTCTCTTCAATGTATTTTATGTGTCTCCCATTTAATTGCAATTGTAGTTAACATTTTCCTGCAGATAATTATTTCTGAAAATAATATATGCCCAGCATTTTGTAAATATGTTTTGTTCTTTTAAACAAAGTATTCTAAATTTCATCCACCAACACATAAAGTGGCTGTACTATTCTGGTGTTCTAATTCTTATCACAAATTAACCACAAATTTTCTTTTCCCATAGGCAAAGAAAGGACTATGTAATAATTAATCAAAAGAGAGTTAATACCACACTTTAATCCAAATGTCTTTAGTCATAGTAAGACTAAATTCTCTACTGTCAACAGTTCTTTCTGTAAAGATGCAGTCCGGCCATGTTGCCCAGGCTGGACTCAAACTCCTAGGTTCAAACCATTCTCCCAACTCAGTCTCCCAAGTAGCTGGGACTGCAGGCACCTGGCTAGTATCCTTATCCTGTAAGAATGTACTGGGGACAGAATTGGGCACAATCTGGTGAAATCTCAAATATGAGTAACCCAAGTGACAGAAAAAATCACCTAAAGTTTCACTTTGATGGCTGACCAACAGTTTCTTACCTGGAAAATGGGGCTCTGGGCCAATGAATAAGGTAGGCTCTCAAGATTAGGGAGAAAATTCAGAAATGACATCTACTGAGAGTTAACACACAATGAACAAATAACACTGGTTGTCTTGGGAGAGATGGAGGAAACCTATCAATGACACTACGGATGGCCTTCCATATGTATCAAAAATGCAAATGTAGTCACTCAAAATTAATTAAAAAGCAATTTTTCTACTTCTTGCTTAAAATATGTAATACAACTATAATTATGTGGTATGATGAAACAGGGGCTTTTTTACAGAGGTGAATTTACCAGATCACTAAAACTAATTTTTGGAAACAAACATGCAAATGACTTAAAATAACCATCTGGCTTTATCAAATTATTAATTGAATTTACTATAATCAGCAACTGTCCTGGTATTAAAACATATTCTACCTGTTTTGATCTCTGGCCTTCGTTAAATATGCCTTTTCATTTCTCTCTACATAACACTCTCTAATCAGTAATCTCATAAAAACAATGAGAAGAAATCATTAAGTATTTCCAAGAATGACACCCATTTTAAGATTTAACATTTTATATTTAGTAACATTGTTCCTAGTCCTGAATAAATTAAAAGAAAACCCTTTGTGAGAGATAAAAGAAGTACTTAACAATTTGACCGCCTGTAATATGTAAATTTATAACATGTTTTCCTGACAAAAACACACGTTTAATCACATGATCAATTAGCGTATCCATCAAAAGCTTACAATAAAGTTGAAAATTAAAGTTGTACTTTTTTTTTACAGTTTTTAATTTTTTTTAAGTAACAGCTAACAGTATGATAAAAATCGTAGAATATTTTACAACATAAATTTAGACTCACTTGTTGGCCCTAAACCATAAACGTTATCATTAGGAAGTGACAGTGATGAAGTTTGTTATAAAATCAAATGATCCAACTCTAAAAACAGTTTAATTTTTATATGATACTTCTGTTGCCCAGAAAAGGAAAACTGGCACATGACTTTTATCGAGGTACAAAGTAAAAGCAAATTTCCCCATTATGATTACAGTATTCCTGTAATATATATCCTATTAAGCTATTGTTGTTAATTCTGCTTTCGCTTTTAATTGCTTAACTTCAAAACACTGTTATAAATAATACAAGCTGTTCTTCTAGCAAATATTTATTATTATAATAGGATCTAGAAGTTCTTTAAACATTTGACAATTACAAGAGGAAATCAATAGCAGAATAGGTCAGAAACAGGGCACTTGGCTCAGTTCTTGCAGAAATGATATACTGTGAACTTATATTTTCAACACTCTCTAAGTAGCAATGCTCCTCAAGTTATGATGGTGTTACTTCTGGATAAACTTATCCTATGACCTTTTCAACTTACAATGGGTTTATCCGGATATAACCCCATCATAAGTCAAGGAGACTAGTGAATGTCTATCACTTTTGCACCATAATATAATCGAAAATCATAAGTTGCACCAAAGTTCTGTTGAAAGAGTATGCCAATAAATTTTGTACTTACTTTGCAGAGGCAAAGTGTTTCTAATACACTGTAACTCCAGTTCCTCTGTCCATTCCAGCTTTGGCAGCATCTGCTTCATCTCACAGTTACCATTCTCTGCCATGGACACTGGTTGACTATTGACTGGTATCTTTCCCAAACACTTCATGTGTTGTTGAACTTCCGCCAAGAGAACAGCTTGTATTGCTTCAGTTACCTGTAAGGTATTTTTTTCAGTGGATTATTTTTAGTATTATTACAAATGCTTAGGTATGTTGCAAAAAATCCAAAGCCCGGAATTTAAATTTGAACAGGTTTCCATAAACAATAACTTTTCATTCTTCTAGCATTAGCATCCACAACAACTGAAATGTACATAGCAACAACTGGCACCCAGACTTTCACGCGGTATTTTTTGTTTGTTTGTTTGTTTGTTTGGCAATGCAATAGACTCTAAAAGGATACTTGAGGAGCATTTTTTTAAAGTCCAGAATGTCAAACATTACACTATAGGACAAAGAGGAGTTTTCAATTATTTTTCCTATTTTCGTTTCCACCAGAAGATAAAGAAAATTCATTTGAATTTATCCTATGGCTCTTAAAGACAAGGTTAGATCCTCAAACTATGTCTAGTTCCAAAGCATTATTTAAACAAAACACTGCATTTAAACTATGCTTTACGCAGAAAATTAAAGAAATGACTATAATAATAAATCTCACTAAATTTTGTGTATACCTATGTGGCTTTACATATATTAAGGTATTGCAAGGCACATCTTCCAATTGCTGTGTGTGCCCAGTCAAGGCCTATGGTTCGAAGGAGGGGGAAAGGAACACTTGCCACAGAACATCCAACCAAATTCTTCATTTTTAAAATGAAGAATCTGGGGCATGACACCTCAAGGTTACATAGACTTGGTGGACAGACCTTCTGATCCCTGATTCTGTCTTTCAAAGTACATGTCCACTCAAGATTCTATATCCTCTACCTTCAGTGCAAAGCTAGTGACAGTTTCCTAGACCTCTTCCTGGTAAAAGATGAGGTAAGGTCTAGCAGTTAGGTATAGCCAAAAGAAGGCCAGGAGCTGAATTAGGGAGAGAAAAGAACGGACATGGTTGATATAGACAAACCAGGTACACCTTCTCATTACCCTTCTCCAGCCAATAGTTAAACATTTCATATAGCTACATCCAAGTGCTTTTCATATAGCCACATCCCAGTGCCATAGCATATATATTTTCCCCTCAGAAGTCTGTCCTCTGTCAAGCTGACTCATGTTCCACAATTGCCACTGTCCCCCTCCATTACTCCCGGTCTACCCATAGGCACGTCTAGAGCTAGGGATATGGGACAACACCGAGAGTGGTGACCTAGAGATGCTTTGGCCAAAAACTGAACATGTATTTATGTAAATATGTATTCCATCTCTTTTGCATGAAATGATAGCATGTGAGACCTTCAGGTTCCAGGGACATCCAAGGAGCTTATTATGATGGCAGATACTTGCTGAATTCCTGGGACAGAGAAGATGGCCTCTGACTTTTAAATATAGGAAGCTTCCTGAGAATACTGGAGCAACTTCCTGATTGCCGATTATCTCCCTGTCCTTATCCAGCAGACAATCAAACGTTTGATTAAGGAGTGAAAAAAGGCTAATGAATAGTAGAATATCACTATTGCATACCATGCATACTAACAGGTAGTACTGCCTATTTGCAATACAAGTGAATGGTGCTTACTCATGAATATCATGTAATGAGATATTTAACATCAGAGTATCAATTATATACCATTAATCTAAGATATACTTCTACACATCATGATGCTGGTAAATAACGCATATTAATATCTACCATATGAGACCAGCCTGGTTGACATGGTGAAACCCCGTCTTTACAAAAAAATGCAAAAATTAGCCTGGCTTGGTGGTGTTCACCTGTAGTCCCAGCTACTCAGGAGGCTGAGACAGGATGATTGCTTGAACCCAGGAGGCAGAGGATGCAGTGAGTCCAGATCATACCCCTGCACTCCAGCCTGAGTGACAAATCTGGTATATATATATGTGTGTGTATATATATACATATATATATGTATATCACACCAGTATATCACATCAGTATATCACACTACTTCTGAGATATAAATATAAATTATTATATGTGTTTCTTGCTAACATATACTGCTATGTATATACCACAGTATTGGTAAACCATGCTGATTTATGTATATCACATGATGGGATATATTGTATTACTTATTCATGATGAACAATTTTATAACACTGAAGTTATTTCATTTTAACTTTGTCATACATGTTATTTCATAGCACTGGTTCGATGATGTGGATAATGTGGTAGAAAGAACTCAGGATTATAAGTGAAAAGGTTTGCATTTCCTATTCCACTATGACAGTTACCACAAATCCAACCTTTGACAAGTCACAAACTTCTCTGAAACTTCATGTTCTCACTTACAAAAGAGTTTGTGATACTGAGAGACATTAGGATAAGAGCTGTCAATAACAGAATAGTGCACGGAAATTGCTCTTTCTATACTCATAAATTAAGGATACTGGACAATATTCTAAGACCCACAATGTGTCCAGACTATATCATACCCCTCAGAATGGGTAGTTTGGCCATATGCCTTCACTGGGCTTATGGCTGTCCTCTCACCCTGGGATGCTTATCACCCCAGAGGCATGCCCACAGTTGGGATCTAAAATGTCATCTCTCCCACTGAATATAATATCCTATACAACTTGGATAATCATTATTTCTTAAAAATATACAGGAATTTATGTATTTTAATTTAATATTTCTAATTATTTGATTTACATGTCACGACTTCACTTTTTTTAACTGTTGATTTTTTTTACATAGTCGTCACCACAAATGCATATTATAAGAATAAAGAAATGAATATCATCAAAAACAAGTGGAACAGAAATAACTATAGAATAAAATAGATTAACCATGATGAGTAGGGTACTCAGAGCCACAACAGTTAAAAGCGAATACTGAATGGCATCCAATAGGAAAGAAACTCAAAATATATATTTCAACTCAGTGTGAGATGAGAGAAAGGCTGTATCTTCTAAACATGTAATAATGTTATTACAGTATCTGGAATAGAGTGGACACTAAATAAATACTAGTGGAATTGAAATAGATTCTGCAGACTTTCAAAAATAAACTGTGGAAAGTATAATTTATTGATAGTTTATAACTATCAATACTTGAGTCTCTCTCTATAAATGTAGCAGATAGATTTTACAGATAGTCAATAGAAATGGAATTTTCTCCAACAAAATATAAAATGTTTATATGGCATTTTATATAACTTCATAATTTTAATAATGAGCTAGTATTGAGCATTATGGCTATAAAGCTGTCTTCCCAACATATATAAATAAATTTCTTCCAAAACATAGATATCAAAGAATCGTATTCTTTTATGAGGCAATGTGCACAGATTAAAAATAAAGTTTACAAACTCATTGACTGGAAAGAGTCAGCTACAAATCTGGGACATATGCTTATTAACTAAAGGTATTACTGAGTCCTAGGCAAGCCAAAAATTTTAGTGGTATTCCATTAACACCTTGAAAGAACAAAATACTGTAAAATAGCATAGAGCATCATGAGGATGCATAAGAACCCCTGTGTCCTGGTTGTTGTTCCAGTGTCTAGTTTTTTTGTTATAAAACATTTTTCCCAACACTCTGCTCAAGCTGACCTTTCATGTCTTTGCAGTGTCTCCTGGAAAAGCAACATTTCTAACTGGAGGCCTAAATGTCATGATGTGTACCCAGTGGTGTTAAATTATAAAATCCAAAGAAATTTAGTGCAGTACCAGAAACATGAAAATTAGCAATCCCCAAACTTTTCTGTTTCTTTTCCAGCATTTATTTTTATGTTGATTGTTCAATGTGTCAAAAGCAAAAGAGACAATCTCTAGACAAACTTATTCATCAGCAAAATTAATTCATTCTTCCCCTAACCTTAAAGGTAAACATTCAACTTCTGGAGCTAATTTTGCTCGTTTTACAAAAGCATTCCATTTAACCAGGGTTAAAATGAAAGAAAAATTGTTAAGGACAGCTAGAGAGAAAGGCCAGGTCACTTACAAAGAGAAGCCCATTAGACTAACAGTGGACCTCTCAGTGGAAACCTTACATGCCAGAAGAGATTGGGGGACAATAGTCAAAATTCTTAAATAAAAGGAAATGCAACCCAGAATTTCATACCTAGCTTAACTAAGCTTCATAAGGGAAGGAGAAAAAAGATCCTTCTCAGACAAGCAAATGTTAAGGAAATTCGTTACCACTGGATCTGCCTTACAAGAGCTCCTGAAGGAAGCACTAAATATAGAAAGGAGAGACTGTTACCAGCCATTACAAAAACACACTGAAGCACACAGACCAGTGACACTGTAAAGCAACCACATAAACACATCTGCAAAATAACCAGCTAACATCATGATGACAGGATGAAATCCATACGTATCAATACTAATCTTAAATGTAAATGGACTAAATGCCTCAATTAAATGACATAGAGTGGTAAGCTAGATAAAGAACCAAAACTATCAATATGTAGTCTTCAACATAACATGTCAACCCTCAAAATAAAGGGTTGGAGGAAAATCTACCAAGCAAGTGGAAAAAAGGAAAAAGCAGGGGTTGCAATCCTAGTTTCTGACAAAACAGACTTTAAACCAACAAAGATCAGAAAAGACAAAGACATTACATAATGGTAAAGGGTTCAATTCAACAGGAGGAGCTAACTATCCTAAATATAAATACAACCAACACAGGAGCACACAGATTCATAAAGCAAGTTCTTAGAGACCTACAAAGAGACTTAGATCCCCACACAATAATCATGGGAGACTTTAACACCTCACTGACAATATTAGACAGATAACTGAGACAGAACATTAACAAAGATATTCAGGACCTGAACTCAGCAGTGGATCAAATGGACCTGATGTCTATAGAACTCTCCACCCCAAAACAACAGAATATACATTTCTTTCATCACCACAGGACACCTATTCTAAAATTGATCATAATTGGAAGTAAAACACTCCTTAGCAAATGCAAAATAACTGAAATCATAACAAACAGTCACCAGGACCACAGCACAATCAAATTAGAACTCAAGACTAAGAAATTCACTCAAAACCATATAATCACATGGAAATTGAATAAC